AATTACTGAAATAAATGAACTTTTCCACGACATTCTAATTTATTGAGATGCACCTGTAATATAGAGAGAATTAAAATGATAAAGAACTTAATTGGTAATAATAAAGAAAAAAAGAAGATAAATTTGATATTCGGAAAAGGATTAAGAGAAGGTATTAATCAAAGAATAGTAATGGAATATATAATAGAAACAGGATTTAATAAACGAATTTGATAGTTAAATAAATAAATAAATAAAGCAAAGGGATAGGGGAACACACAAGCTGGGTTTTTTGGCATGGGAGCTGAACACGCAGCAGCCAGAAATACAGCTTGGGTGAGCCCGAAATAAAATGAACAATTAAAAAATAAATAAAATATGAATAGAAGCGGGACTATCATCCATGCATGAATAGAAACAGTTGGTGGCGGTATGTGCCTATGGTGCGGAATACGCCAAAAAATTCCAAAGAAGAAGAAGAAGAAGAAGAATCGGACTTCACGAATGTGTGTAAACTCTGCAACATGGCGGCAGACCACATCGGAGAGCTGGCAAGCATGGACAACTCCAGCCGAAGCGCTCGAGCCGGTTCCTGCAGCGACAGATACTCTTTGCTGGTCATTGTTGGACAGACCAGTCCGGCTGGATTTGTGGATTTACTCGTGTCAGAGACTGAAAGAGGTAAAGGTTCGTCTTACTGAGGGGTGGTGATTGAATGAGAGCCAGCGCGCCACTCTCCGAGTTTACAACATGAAGAGAGAGAGAAACAATGTAGCAACTTTACCAGAACATGACGGAAGTCTCTTTTTGTAGCTCATGTTGCTGGAGTTTTAATATTAGCATTATTATTATTATTATTTGTACAAAATATCTTAAAATATAGAGAAAGAACTATAGTTTGCTAGTTTAAAGTTTCTGCGACTAGTTTAGACGTATTTTAAAATATTTTTTAAAAAGACTGTATTGCTTGTTATCCAAAATAAAAGCCTGATGAGTAGATGCTATGCAGAATTACCACTGAAAGTCTCTTGAAAGCTGTCACATGGCATGCATGTAACCAAATATCAGCTCCAGAGACTCCTTTTGTTCATGTGACCTTGACCTCTTGTCAGCTGAGTGGGAACTAAAATGAGATGAATGCCCACAGAGGGCTCAAACATAGATATTATTTACTGTTGAACAGGGGCTCTCGGCTTTCAAGCGTGGCATGAAACCTGTGTAGGATCTTAAATCAACACGGGGAAGTTCTTCAAAGTTTGACTCCGCTCTTTCTAGAAGAGACGGCAGAATAAACAACAGTCTACTGTCCGTGTCGATGCAGAGAGCCTTGCCTCTGTTTACAAAGATAGCCTATGTTTCCTATAATCTCAGGTGTAAATAATGGTGATGGTTTTTCAGTATTTCATGGTTCTTCTGTAAGATGCTTGGCCCCTGGATCCCAAAGCACTTGAAAAGACCCAGCCTGCTCTGCAGAACATAAATAATGCAGCTGCTTTACTTCAGCATGGCTAAGCCGACATGACTTCCCTGTTCAGACGGTCTGCTTGAAATCTCACCCAGCCTGCAATCCTCCAATCTGAACACGCCCTCTTATGAAAGAAAGATAAGCACATTCATATAGCAGCAGATATGCATCACTGGCTTGTTTTCTCTGTTGAAAGTCCCTGAAAAGCGAAGTAGTTCTTTTGCACAGTTATATATAGCCAGTCTTGTGTTTGCAGACTCTCCTTCCTCATTGTGCTGGTTGGTTCAAAGTTCATCTTTAAAATGTGCGAAATACATCTGTCTTGTTGAAAGAAAACTGATTAGACTGGCCTAAGCTGGTCTTCCACCCCTGTTGGCTTTTAAGAGGGGGTTTATACACTTTCTAGTTGGTAAGATTGGGAGCCCGGGCTGGTTAGAGATGATTGTGTGTGTGCAGCTGGGATTGCTGTAGTTATTTTTCTTTTATCATCTGCTTTCCTTTGATTTTCTGTCTCTTTATCTGTGACTATAAACAAGGGCCGTGTGACTGATATGCACACATCCTCTTTGTGACTGTTGCCAGCGTTTCCTTCTCTTCCTGGTTAGACGCTGCAGCTTCCACCTCGGTAATCGGACAGGAATACGATTAATACGAATACGTCTTAAATGCTGTCAGCGACTTTAAATAGTCGTGGCGCTCGTTCTGCATCTGCAGTGGTGTGTTTTTCGTAATTTTGGCCCTTCTTGAGCCCTACTGAGAGTGTGACCGCAGTTAGTTCGTAAATCATGAGCACGTTCTGCACCACTTTCATTAAAACGTGATCAGCTCCCACACTTCTTTATCCTTATAGCTAAAACACACTAGTGTGCAAACGTAAGTGTGCAACGTTTGTTCATAAGACGTGAATGACGAAACGTATTGTGTGGCTTCTTGAGAAGCGCCTGATCAACATGCTAGCAACCCCATAGTAACTTGCGTATCAACACGTAGCCTATAGCTACCATTGTTGGAAATGTTACTTCGAAACAAGCTACTTTGTAATTTGAAGTTGTTGAGATGTGGTCACATTTACCATTGTTTGGCATATTTTCACAGCGAAATCTAGTTATTTCAATAGAAATCCATGCGATTGGGAATTTTCGTGGCAAAACATTTAAAAGCGTAGATTTTGGATTGGGTTTGAATTAGGGCTGCACGATATTGGAAAAAAACTCACATTGCGATATTTTATTTTTCTGCGATATATATTGCGATATGAAAAAAAAAAATCACCAGATGACTTAAAGCTCTATTTGGAAAAAAAATAATCGATGATTGGGGTGATTTTAGGTGAGTAAATCAGCATAGAAAATAAACAAATTGCAAGCATAGATAAATATAATAGAATAAAGATACAAATGAAACAAACAGTGCTTTACATTTTTCAGGTAAGTCTAACACCAGGAAAGTCCGCTAGTTCACTTGCTTATTTATTATAGTGT